TTCTATAGGTACATAGCGAATAAAAGACAGACTAGGGACAACGTGGGCCCTCTCCGAAAGCTATCCGGAGAACTGGCTACCCTGGATTTGGAGAAGGCTGAGGTTCTTAATGACTTCGTTGCCTCAGTCTTCACTGGCAAATGCTCTGACCACACCACCCAAGTTTTGGAAGGCAGACGTAGGGACTATGAAGATGAAGACTTTAGGCCCACTGTAGGAGAGGATCTGGTTCTAGACCATCTTAAGAACCTGAACGTGCACAAGTCCATGGGAGCTGATGAAATCCATCCATGGGTCCTGAAGGAGCTGGCGAATGAAGTTGCTAAGCCACTGTCCATTATATTTGAGAAATCATGGCAGTCAGGTGAAGTTCCCAATGACTGGAAAAAGGGAAATATAACCCCATTTTCAAGAAGGGGAAAATGAATGACCCAGGGAACTACAGACCAGTCAGTCTCACCTCTTTGCCTGGCAAAATCTTGGGGCAGATTCTCCTGGAAGGCATGCTAAGGCACATGAAAATCAACAAGGTGCTTGGTGACAGCCTGCATGGCTTCACTAAGGGGAAATCCTGCCTGACCAATTTGGTGGCCTTCTATGATGGGGCTACAGGGGCAGGGCAGTTGACATCATCTACCTGGACTTGTGTAAAGCGTTCGACACTGTCCTGCAAGACATCCTTGTCTCTAAATTGGGGAGACATCAATTTGATGGATGGACTACTCGGTGGATACAGAACTGGCTGGATGGCCGCATGCAAAGAGTTGTGGTCAATGGCTCAATGTCCAGCTGGTGACCAGTAACGAGTGGTGTCCCTCAGGGATCGGCGTTAGAACCAGTCTTGTTTGATGTCTTTGTCGCTGACATGGACAGTGGGATTGAGTGCGCCCTCAGCAAGTTTGCCGATGACACCAAGCTGTGTGGTTCGGTTGATACGCTGGAGGGAAGGAATGCCATCCAGAGGGACCTTGACACACTTGTGAGGTGGGCTGATGCCAACCTTATGAAGTTTAACCATGCCAAGTGCAAGGTCCTACAGCTGGGTCGGAGCAATCCCAGGCACAGCTACAAATTGGGCAGAGAAAAGTTTCAGAGCAGCCCTGCAGAGAAGGACTTGGGGGTGCTGGTCGATGAGAAAATGAACATGAGCCGGCTTCAGTGTGCGCTTGCAGCCCAGAAAGCCAACCGTATCCTGGGCTGCATCAAAAGGAGTGTGACCAGCAGGTCGAAGGAGGTGATCCTGCCCCTCTACTCTGCTCTTGTGAGACCTCACCTGCAGTATTGAGTGCAGTTCTGGTGTCCTCAACATAAAAAGGACGCGGAACTATTGGAACAAGTCCAGAGGAGGGCCACGAGGATGATCAGGGGACTGGAGCTGTATGAAGACAGGCTGAGAAGGTTGGTGCTGTTCAGCCTGGAGAAGAGAAGGCTGCGTGTAGACCTCATAGCAGCCTTCCAGTATCTGAAGGGGGCCTATAGGGATGCTGGGGAGGGACTCTTCATTAGGGACTGTAGTGATAGGACAAGGGGTAATGGGTTAAAACTTAAACAGGGGAAGCTTAGATTGGATATAAGGAGGAAATTCTTTCCTGTTAGGGTGGTGAGGCACTGGAATGGGTTGCCCAGGGAAGTTGTGAATGCTCCATCGCTGGTGGTGTTCAAGGCCAGGTTGGACAGAGCCTTGGGTGATATGGTTTAGTGTGAGGTGTCCCTGCCCATGGCGCGGGGATTGGAACAGGATGATCTTAAGGTCCTTTCCAACCCTAACTCTTCTGTGTTTCTGTGATTCTGAACACAGAAACGAGGGTGATGCAAATGGGGTGTATGTGTCACTACAGAAACCATAATAAAACCACATAAATAATTTTCTAAGCCTCTTAAAGAGGGAAGCAACTGATTTAACATGAAGGAGTAATTAGATAAAGATGTAGACTCAATAATATAGGTCAAAAATTAGGCAAACAGTCGTGGGGGGAGGAGACAGGTTAAAAATAAAGCCAGCAACTGAGCTGCCTTGAAATTTTAGCATTTTATTAATATTTCTGAAGTTGATTTTTTTTTTTAACTGATCAGTAAAGTTAGAATTGAATGTAAATTGCTTTAAACAATGCCTGGAGTCATTAGCATTACTCATAAACAAGTTTGTGGTTTTTTTAATATGTGTTTGGCAGAATGCATGCACTCGATCAGTTTCTGGACATCTGATGGTTGTTTTACCTTTCCTGTAGCTTGGAAAACTATGATGATTTGCTGTAGCCTTCTGCTGAATCAGCATCCCTAAGGGGAAGGGACAGTGTAGTGAATCTTTTGAAGTATTTTCAAGTCCAAAATGTTGCTTTGAATACTTAATTCTCCTAAGTATGTTTACTGTGGATACTGTGTTGCCTTTTGAAAGTTGCAAATTAAGTAGGATAAAATCCATGTAGTTGGTTGCCAAACTTTTGAGTGCGGAAGGTCCCCTGTGTTATATTGCCTATATGTATGAGGTTGGGAATTAATTCAGTGCAGTGGTCTTCCTGATTCCTTTTGAAAATGGTATCCCTTCAAGGTGAAGCAACAGGTAAACAAAACTCCAGTGGGTGCTCTCACCTGGATAAGGAGTTAATAGGTTTATGCTCTTCTCAAGGTAATACTGAAAACAGACAAAGGGTTCAGAGCTGCAGACAAGGAAGCTAAAAACCAGATATACAGAATTATGCTGTCAAATGGGAAAAGCCCAAGAGGTTCAGATAGCTTCATACGGTAGCTGCCTAACATACTAATATTCCTGTTAGATAAAAAGGAAGTGTAATTTTGTATTTTTTCCCAAAGGACCATTGTTGGGGTTTTAGTAAATATACTAGTTTCCTAGCTCCTATTTGCCTTGTTTTGCAGTCCACCAACAGAGTCTTCAATTCTAGCTCTTTCTTTCAAGCCTGCATTGCATACCTGTTACAGGCTTTCTGTCCCTTGAGCTGATTGTGTAACCCAGTTTTGGAATTCTATACTTACTTCCATAGCTAATTACGTACAGCAAGACTTTTTTTTTTTCTTGGAGTTTCTAATAGTAGTGTAATTAGTCTATGTGTCTAGAGCTCTCATTTTATGACAAAATATTCATTAAAAGTTTATCTTCATAAAGGTTTGGAAAATCAAAACAATGGAGTTGAAACTCAATTCTGAACCACAGGACAATCCAGCAAAGAGGCATGATTATCCCTCTACTACCACCACCGTCTCTGTTCACTATTCTTATACATCATCAAAAAAAAAAAAAACATACCTGGCTGTAATGAAACAAGGATAGAATTAATGGGGAATGTGTTTGTGAAATGTCATAGCTATAAGTGGGGATATGAATAAATGTGGACAATAATGCAAAATACTTCAGGAACACAAAGAAACGGAATCTTATTTAGACCTACGTATCTCTTTCCATCTCTGTTTTCTTTTTCTTCCATCTAAAAGTTCTTGTTCTCTAGCCTCTGCTAATTTTGCTTTTAGTAGCAACCACTAGAGATGTAAAGATTACATTTCACCTGCAAGTGACCAGTGAGGGGCCCTAATTATTCCATATTTTCTCAAAGTACTTGTCCTGAGGAATGTTTACAGCCGTTTTCATTTGTGCTTGGTCTTGAAGGTCTCATTGCAACAACTTCTTTAGAGAAGGTGTTTTGAACTTTATTTTTCCTCAGATATTGGCTTTGAATTTCATTATTTGTGTTTTCCCATTGTGGCAATGAAGTTTTACACAAATACTTTTTGATCCTGAAAATTACATCACAAATATGTTGCGTTTGGGTCTTGCTCAATTCTGCCTAATGAAAAATTAAAATGCCAAACAAATAATTTATATGCAGAAATAGTGAGCTATGGTTTGGATACTTCGAAGTAGAATTAAAATTTACAGCACATAGTTTGAAATCTGGTATTTGGATGTAAGAAAGGAAATTTGTCTTATGAAGCTAGGATGCTGGATTCTTCCTCACGGGCTTTAGCAATAAGACAAGGGGTGATGCGTTCAAGCTAAAACAAGGGAAGTTCAGGTTACATGTAAGGAAGAAGTTCTTTACTGGGAGGGTGGTGAGGCGCTGGAATGGGTTGCCCAAGGAAGTTGTGAATACTCCTTCCCTGACATAGTTCAAGGCTGGGTTGGACAGAGGTTTGGGTGACATCGTCTAGGGTGAGGCATCCCTGCCCATTGCAGTGGGGTTGGAACTGGATGATCTTAAGGTCCTTTCCAGCCCAAACCATTCTATGATTCTATGATTTTTCCTGTCTTCTGTAAACTACTTTGTATAAGTGAACGTGTTTTAAACCAAACATAACCTTTTTTTTTTGGTTGCCAGCATTTTTATGAGCTCAGATTTTCAGTCTTGTCTTACTTTTGACTTCAAACCCAGGTATTTAAATACTGCATCTATGTCAGTAAAAATGACCAGCTTTGTGATATAATGCAGTATTATTCTCAATCCTATGATGCTGTCAGTTTTCATTTAAACCCAACTTTTTCAAAACTTATTTCTAAATGAACTTAATCAGATTAACTTCATTTAGTCACATCTGCTCATGATTTTTTCCCCTTTTACTAGCCATACAAATCATGAAATTAAGCTAATTATATACCATTATCGGCTGCAAAGAACTAGTTCCACAGTTTTATACCTTTTAATTCCCTGCAGGAGATTAAGGCTTGTTTTTTGTTAATATGAAAAGTGCAGTAATTTAAATGGATTTCCCTGCAGTTATTGCCAAAGGATTAACTAGTTTATTATTGTTTTTCTCTATTGTAAATTGTTTTAAAACATTACATTTGATGTGGTTTCATTGATGGCAATGCTTGTCAAGCTATTGAGAAACATTTTCTAAATAGAAACTGCTATATACAATTGTTATACAGCTATAAAGCAAAAGAAATAATTGTGCTGTCAGAGTGTTTATTGATGGTGACATCTGATTTTTGTCTTCTCTGCTCCTCCGTCTCTTTTGCGGGGCTGGGGGGGAACACTGCCCTCACACAGGTGATGATGAGCAGAGTGATTGGTTTCATGAAAATGAACCTGGTGGAGCATGTGGAATTACTGGAGTCATTCCATGGTGGGAACAAGAAGACGCTACAGAACTTGAAAGAGAATTGCCTGATCCAGTCTTCGAAAGTATTTTAACTGGGACTTTTCCTCTCATGTCCCATTCAGGGAGGAGAGGTAAGACACAATCAAGTAAATGCAAACTGTAGAGTCATTTGAGTACAGTAGAAGGATATCTATACATATAAAACATGAAAAATGCTGACAAGATCTTGGAGTTACCAGTTTGTTCCCCTGAACAATTTCATTTGTAAGTATCATTAGACAGAAATAGTTTTTAAAACTCAGTTGTTAGAAAAGTCAAATTTTAAAATTTGGCTTGTTTTTATAGCCTGCTCTTATTTGTATTGATGTTTCCATTGAGAACAGCTTTATTTGAAGTGAATCTTAGTATCCTGTTTTGTTCCTGGCTCCTGTGATAGTGTTTAGAGTTCTATAGAGGTTTGTTAATTCAAAAGTTGGAGAGTAGTGTGACCATCTGCTTTGCTTTATGGTCAGGCAGTGTTGTTTGTAGAGAAGGTGGAAGGGTTCCTTTAGAGCAAGGATTGAGATTGTAATTTAGAAAATACCTTTTTTTTTTTCTTTAAAATATTTTAGACAGCTGTGGATCCAGTGTATCCAATGGTAAGTTGCACCAGAGTTAGATTGCGTTTACAGCTGGGAACCCACTCTTATCTAAAGACTGAAGTTGCAGACCTCAACTTGCTGCCAGAGAGTTTTGTTGTACCTTCCCTCTGCCACAAGGATCTCTTTCACATTCAAATGCAGATCTTTTATGTGAGCAGTGGTCAAATCACTTTTAAACTGCTCTGCACAATGTAATGAATTATTGTGTGAAGCTTATTTATGAAATGCTTGAAATTGTTTCTGAGGACTTGGTCTTTGTGAATTCACCGGATTTAACGTGGTTTAGTTCTAATAAAGTTGTAAGTGATGCAAAAAACCTTTCCTACTGATCAGAGTGCTCTGCTCATGCAGCCAACTGTGCATAGAACCAGGATGGCAGTAAGAATATCTACAGAAATACTAATTTTTATAACAACTTAGCCTTTCTCTCACTTTCCCCATTGTGCTTTGTTGCCACCAGTACAATTGACTATATTAAGATGTTTTTATTGAACTGGTCAGATTAATAGATTGGTGTGTAATGGTGAATGTTATTGGTTTCATGGTATAGAAAATGTTCTTAAATCAGTTTGTACTTCTTTTTTTTTAGGTTTCCAGAGTAGATTTAGTCATCTTCATGGAATGCCAGCAAGAAACATAAAAAAGGCTTCAGGAAACCAGAATGCATTGGTAGGTGCTTTTATTATTGTTGACTAATGTGCACAGTTCTTAGCGGTATTTGGGTTTGCTTTTTGTTTTAAAAAAAACATATTTCTCCCATCCTTGTTTCCTAGTGTTGTAGATAGGTAATGGAAGGGCGCCACTGCTGCTGATTATTGCCTCTTTTGTAATGGAATATTTGTGTGTGCTTGAATGGCAGAAAGAGTTGGATATTGTCTCTCAGTACTTATTTTGAACTGAGTGAAGGGGAAGCTTTGGGGGAGCATTATTAGAAATTTTCAGTGTGGATCTTATGTCTATATGAAAACATGTTTAAAATGAAAATCAAACCAAAGTTAAATGTTAAGTTTTTCTCACACTGAAAGCATTTTAGGATGGATTTATTTTGATTTCTTTTTCTCCCAAAAGTCTGCTTTGAAAAATCTGTCTTTACTCTCTTGTCTGGGTGACTTCTGTGTGGTCAGGTAAAGGGTCTGTACAGTCTAATAATATGATTTTCCCATAGCTGTTTTCTAAAATAAGATTATAATGAATTTATGAGAATTTGTTCTTCAGAAGAGACTTCTCAAGTTAAAGCATTTAAATTTATTAATTTAATTATATAAATGTTAATATTTTTGTTATATATAATATATATTAGATATATAAAACTATCTATATTAAAATATATTTTAATAAATATTAATTTATTCATGCAGTCTATTGTTTTCTTATTGGGATAGTGTTTAGAAGAGAAGGAAGCAGGATGTGGGAAACTCTATGTCAATGTATAATAAACCTGCTTCAACCTGATAAATACTGCAACATCAATGTTCTTTGTATTTGAGAAAATTAAATGGTTTCCAATTTTAATTTACCTTAAAGTAAGATGCTTCTCAGAAATATAAGAGAAATATGCAGAGAGAATAAAAATTAACTGTGAGAAATGTAACTTGTTTTGAAGAGGGAAGGGTTTTATAATTGATGTCCCTGTCCAATAATTGCCATTTGGAGCTGAATAAGATGCTTTAAAACCTTGGCCTGTGATCTTTGCTGTTAGTGGTCATGAATTAGATGAATGCTATCTAGTTCTTGGTTTCCTATCTACCTATTTTTATTTTTGGTTCAGTGCTTGCTTGAGCATATCTGGGATTTGTAGCCCATTTTCTAGGCTTATTGCAATTTCACTCTGGTATTTTATAGGAGCTATTATAACTGATGGGTTAGCTTCATGGTGTTGATGATACATAGCTTAACTACCCTAAAAACTGCCTTTCTAAATTGTAAAAGGGTGATTAAATTTCAATTGATGAAGATATACAGTGAATGCATTTATATAATAAAAAAATCCCAATGTTTATTTTCTGCTACTCTTTCTGAATTGTCCTTAGGAGCCTATTTTTTCTTCTAGCCATGATATCTCATACTAAGATGAGTAAAGATGGCATTGTAGTTCCCTTTATAACAAAGTGCAAGCCAATCTACTAAAGACTGCTAATTCAGTTACCTCGAGTTACTAAATATATCATTTACATAGTGTAGTTAAACAAGATTGTCCTGCAAACATAGCTTCTAAGCCACTATTTTTAGGCAGGAGTGTATATATAGAATGGATGTGCAGCTGGCTCTTCACATGCAGTTTTCTGACCTTCTTAATGTCTATTTATGTTTGTGGGCACATTTGCTGCATCCATCATTGCAAACATATCTATATAAGCTAAAGTTCATGTACTTCTTTTTGTTAGTGGTTGCTTCTTAAAGAAAATCTTCTTTTAGGTCCTTTAATCCAATGACAAAAAAAAAGTTGTTTTATACCTGTGACATCTGATAACAAAGAACAAGAAGTAATTACTGCTATTAGATTGTAACAGTGAAGAAAAGCAAGGATGCTTTTAGAAAGATTAATATCCTGAGGAAAGAACACTGCAGACTCAACTGATTGAGCAGAGTTGTGCTGTGACTTAATTCTTTTTTAGCAGTGAGGAGTCTGATGTCTCTATCACTGCTTTTACACAGACTCGAAAGACAAAGTAAAAAATGGAGTTTCCTACTGAGATACCCTACCTAAAAGCCACACATTATATCCTGCATTTGGCCTAAGGATGTGTAGTTTGTATCTAGGAAATGTGAGCATATAGTTACCTCTTTGCATACAGGCAATGTGTGTTTAAATTTCTTTGGGGAATTTAATTGAAGGTTCACAGCTACAGCAGCTAGTGGAGCCTTGAAGCAATTACTGGTTTAGGGAAGGCAAAATGAATAGCTAGGGTAGATAATACCTTGATACATTGTCATCTTCTGTCAAAAAATGTTCAATGCCAAACTGTTTGGTTGATTTCTTGTGAGAAACATCAAGCCAAGAGTGTGATTATTACTTGCTATATATTAAGGGAACTGCCAGCTTACATTGTTTTCACACCAGAAGCAGCGAGAGCTCAGAATAGGAAGAAGGATGCTGCTCTTTATAGGCCAATTAGTGAACTTATTTGTAGTATCCACAGCTGGCATTCAGATTCTGTCCAGATGCTTTTCCTGAATTTCACTGATGAGTTGCTTAATTTTAACAAACTTATGGGTCTTTCTGTCATCAGGCATGCTACCTTTGAGTCAAAACGTTCTTTTAATGATCATACACTGGACAAGCAAGAGAGAAGTAAAAACCTGGCACGCAAATGCTATGAAAATCTAATGTGCAGAGTGTTGTCATATAGCAGATGACAACTGAAAATGAAATGTAAAAAAAATTATTGCAATTGGTTTATCCCTTTAATCCCTTTGGATTATCCAGTTTACTAAAGATAGGCACGTTTCTTATGGAATCTGCCATTAAGTGGTTTGTCAGGTGTGTATTTTGGCATACAATTACAATGCCGGCTTTTCATGTCTTGATTTCTTTGTATTGTGGCAGCATCATTTGGAGCAGAACTTTATTTGAAAAGAAATAGAAAACATATTTTCTAATGTACTATGCTTTTGATTCCACCTGTGTCAAGTTGCTAGTAGCAATCAGAAGCATGATCCATGTACTTTCATACCATACCAGTAAGTACCAATGTACTCTTTTAATAAGGTATATTGCATGAAATCTTACTGTGCCTGGTTGAATTCTGCGTTTACATAAGACCGGATCAGCTGTTCCTAACCCTTGAATCCTTTTGTTAGGTAAAAATTCTACATTTCAAAGGTAGTATCCTATGAATGAAATGCAGATTTCTTAAAGGAATGCTTTTTTTTTTCATCTTTTTTCTGTATGTGTTTATAGACTTGCATGTCATGTAGTACTATATCTGTCCTTTCCAACAAATTACGTGTGAAACTTCAGTATTTAGAAGAATCAAATCTGAAATCTAACATTTTAGGTGCACTGGAAATGTGAAAGTTCATTTCTGTGATGTAGAACACTAGATAAACTCTACCTTCAATGATGAAGGCTGCCATACTTTTTTTCAGATGGATTCCTGGGAAAATCACAACAGTCCTAATGAAAGAAAATAAGAGTTTATAATTCTAGTTAGTGAAAATAGAACGTGACTACTTTTCGTTTCTTTCAAAATTTTTTGGCCAACTTAGTACTTGATTGAAAAGTTCTACTTTTTTCATCACAACTCCATACAAATAAGTGAAAGGGCTAAAAATGAGCCCTGCTGTCTTAGCTGTTCCGTGTGTGGTTCTGCTTAGAGTTCCTTCTCGGAAACAAGAGACACTGTAGGGTTTTGTTTGAGGACTCTTGCTTGTCATCTTCCTGCATGTATTCCTTGTCTAGGCTGGAAGCTGGGAAGTGATTTCACTGAGGTGAAGTGCAAAAAACATGAGCAATAAAAAGGATGCTTTCTTTTGATTCTGCCAAGTTTTCATCCATAACCTTTATGTCATGGGTTTTCATTTCATGGTATTAAAGACAGCCTATTTTAAGTCTTGCACTCCTAGGATTGATTTGTTTCTTTTTGCACAGCTGTACTACTGAGTTAGACTATACATAGTTATAATTACTCAAAAAGTAAATAATGAAAGCTACATTTGTGAGACCTGTTATCTGAAGGTATCTGTGTATGTCTGTTAAATTCTGTGACTCTTTCTCCAACGTTCAAAGATAAAATAGCTTTTCTCAAAAATAAAATGTGTTGTTGGGTAACTGCTATATTGATGTGAGGAGAAAAGATGTATTGAGCACTTCTGCTTTTTGTTTACTGCTTTCAAAATGTAAAATCAAACCTTTCTGCATCTAAATTCTTTCTAACTGAAGAAAGGGGTGTGTTCAGGATTTCTTTTTTTCTTGTCAAAATATTTTGGAAACGGAGTGAAAAGGTATTAGATAATAATCCTTGTTACAGGCAGTGTTCCTTAGAGTAAGTAAGTGTAAGGCAGTATTGGTCAGAAGCCTTCTTATGGATGTTCTGCAGCTTTTGGAAGAGCACCATTTCTCAAGTTAAAGTTGATTTAGTGTTTTGGAGAATTCTTTTACACCAGATGTGTGCCATGTAGTTAGATAAAACACAGTTCAGTTTGTGAGGTGTATGAAATCTCTGGGGTTTTAATTAGTTTCTACACTTAACTATTCTCGTTTGAAGCATAGTCTTTACCTCAAAATCTGTGGAAATGTGAGTGGTATTAGATGATGTCTGATAAGAAAACTAAACTCTTGTTGGATTCCAGACTTTCATTTATTCAAGGTCAGTAATATTAGGCCTGTGTCTGAGGAGGGTATTTTGAAACCTTGCGCTGCTAATGCCACAAATTAATTTCTGTTTAATCTGGTAGGAGAGTAGGGGCTTGTGGTTTTTGTGATGGCGGGTTATTAAGATTTCCTGTCATCACAGATATTTTCACCTACTGAAAGCATTTCTTGCTGTGTTTTTCCTTTTATTTTTTAAAACTTTTCCTTATTTGTAAGTCTTAAATTTATATCTGCTTATGTGAAATATAGTGATAAAGTCATGCTTTTTTAATCCTCACATTACTTAACTCAGTACCTTATTTTTATAACATAGAGGGAAAATCTTCCTTGTTTCCTGCAGTCACATGCTTCCTGT